AGTTTGTACGAGGACGCTTGTTTCCGGGGGCATTTTATCCCTGGCGAAAGAGGGTTCTCTCTTATGGGGAAGCGGCCAAGCGTAACTCTGTTTGTGGTCATGCCATGGACCATGAAGCTTAAGCCGTCCATACTTTCAGCCAGTGGAGATTTCTTGCAAGCTGGTCTTGGCATTCCCACCTCGGTCAGGTTCCCTCCGGCCTTAAAGGCCTAATTAGCCGCTCCGTCTGGACGCAACAGATGGGGAGGCCTTTATCCTGCGTCTGGGAGCAGGAAAAGGCTCTTAGCGCTTAGGTCTCGTCTCTCAGAAGCAGGTCATTCGGGCGCAGACGTGGGGAAGGAATGGTGGAGGAATCAAAATCACACATAGTTCACATCTTCACTAATCCACACGCTGTCTTGCTAGAGAAAAGATATGCCACGCAGAGGTTCAGTAAAGAATAAGGTGTTTACTCTTTGTAATGCAGAGCAACTGATATACAGTCATGAGAACAGTTGCTTTGACTCACCCACAATGTCCTTTGAGAGAGATTCCATCCTTAGGTGTCCGTGTGAGAGATCTTCTTTAGGGATGTAAATTGTCTTGACAAGAAAACTTACACATGTAACTGTTGCCAAAACTCCCAGGCTCGGCTAGCTTCTGAGCATAGTCCAACCAACTGTCCTGACAAGTTCCTACTGTTGTTGTTATTATTTTCTTCTTCTTCTTTTCTTCTTCTTCTTCTTCTTCTTCTTCTTCTTATTATTATTATTATTATTATTATTATTATTATTATTATTATTATTTTAGTATTATATGGGGCAGAAAGGATGAGGGAACCTGCTATAACTTTGACTTACTGTTGTTGTTTGTGGGTTTGTTGTTGTTGTTGTTATACGGGGCAGAAAGTTGTATTGGATCACACGTGGGACACTTCACAAGTGTCTAGGACTGTGTGATGTATAGGTGAATAATGCGTACTGGGGTAAGGTGGCCTTCTGCAGCTGGCAGGCAGATCATGATTTTGTCAGTGCTGATTGTTTTTAAGTGCAGGCTAAGGTCTTTAGGCACTGCACCCAGTGTGCCGATCACCACTGGGACCAATTTGACTGTGCCAGAGTGCCAGAGTCTTTGCAGTTCAATCTTTTAATCCTCATATTCCAGGTTTTCTGTTTATCCCAGATTATCTGGCAGTGCGGACTCATATAATCCAGTTCAAAGCAGATAACCTGGGATCGGATCTTGGGTTATAAGGACAGTGTAGAAGGGGTCTAGGGGCCCTTCCAGACAGGCCCTATATCCCAAGATCTGATCCCAGGTTTTCTGTTTATCCCAGATTATCTGGCAGTGTGGACTCATATAATCCAGTTCAAAGCAGATAACCTGGGATCGGATCTTGGGTTATAAGGACAGTGTAGAAGGGGTCTAGGGACCCTTCCAGACAGGCCCTATATCCCAAGATCTGATCCCAGGTTTTCTGTTTATCCCAGATTATCTGGCAGTGCGGACTCATATAATCCAGTTCAAAGCAGATAACCTGGGATCGGATCTTGGGTTATAAGGACAGTGTAGAAGGGGTCTAGGGACCCTTCCAGACAGGCCCTATATCCCAAGATCTGATCCCAGGTTTTCTGTTTATCCCAGATTATCTGGCAGTGCGGACTCATATAATCCAGTTCAAAGCAGATAACCTGGGATCGGATCTTGGGTTATAAGGACAGTGTAGAAGGGGTCTAGGGGCCTTCCAGACAGGCCCTATATCCCAAGATCTGATCCCAGGTTTTCTGTTTATCCCAGATTATCTGGCAGTGCAGACTCATATAATCCAGTTCAAAGCAGATAACCTGGGATCGGATCTTGGGTTATAAGGACAGTGTAGAAGGGGTCTAGGGGCCCTTCCAGACAGGCCCTATATCCCAAGATCTGATCCCAGTATGATATTTCAAGCCTTGGGAAAAGTTTGAATGAAACAGAATTGAAGAATGCCTGTCAACACCTTCAAACCATTTTGGCTGATAGTGAAGACTGTGATGTGAAGGTGATGATCTGTTTGAAGAGCTACAAATATTTGCAACCATGCTGCCCCCTGGAAGTCATCCAGCTAAAGCGTTGTCTTTCATAACCAAACGTGGTTATGTGGATACTTTCCCAAATGTTTATATTGCATTGAGAATTCTGTTAACACTTCCAGTATCTGTGGCCAGCGGTGAAAGGAGTTTTTCAAAAAAATAACAACAAAAACTTTAAACTGTTGCTACGTTTAATAAAATATTTGCATTCTAAAGAAAGTTAATTTGTGTTAATTCTACGTAATGTAACTATATGAAAATAATGTTGTAAGTAAACTTCTGGTTTGTAAAAGAGTTCTTTTATTCACCTCTACCTTCTATGTTTCAGTGATTGGTTGGGGGGGGGCGCCAAAATAATGTTTGCTTACCTTTGAAAATTACCTAGGGCCGCCTCTGCATATAACTGTTGCCAAAACTCCCAGGCTCGGCTAGCTTCTTGCATTTTTCAGTTAACACTCTGATTCAACATGTAACTGTTGCCAAAACTCCCAGGCTCGGCTAGCTTCTTGCATTTTTCAGTTAACACTCTGATTCAACATGTAACTGTTGCCAAAACTCCCAGGCTCGGCTAGCTTCTTGCATTTTTCAGTTAACACTCTGATTCAACATGTAACTGTTGCCAAAACTCCCAGGCTCGGCTAGCTTCTTGCATTTTTCAGTTAACACTCTGATTCAACATGTAACTGTTGCCAAAACTCCCAGGCTCGGCTAGCTTCTTGCATTTTTCAGTTAACACTCTGATTCAACATGTAACTGTTGCCAAAACTCCCAGGCTCGGCTAGCTTCTTGCATTTTTCAGTTAACACTCTGATTCAACATGTAACTGTTGCCAAAACTCCCAGGCTCGGCTAGCTTCTTGCATTTTTCAGTTAACACTCTGATTCAACATGTAACTGTTGCCAAAACTCCCAGGCTCGGCTAGCTTCTTGCATTTTTCAGTTAACACACTCACCAACTTTTTTTTTTACATGCTCCAACAGGAATGAAGAGCAATGAGTTCTTCATCAACCCTTAAAAAAATCTGTTCCTGTTTCAAAAGTGTTATTTCCTGTTTGATTGTGTGGTCCTTACTTGGAAAGTGGTTGTTCTACTTCAGAAACTTTGTTTTTGTGGATTCCACAAACTAGCTTGGATTGGTCTAGACTCTATCAAAGGCATGGGCCAACTTGGGCCTTCCCTCCAGGTGTTTTGGACTCCAACTCCCACCATTCCTAACAGCCTCAGGCCCTTTCCTTTTCCCCCTCAGCCGCTTATGCCTCTCTTGGTCTGAGGCCTTTCTCCCACTGAGGCAAACTAATACTGAGGCCTTCTCACAGATTGAGGCCTCTTCATCGTGAGGGCAACTAACACTGAGGCATACTAACCTACAGACACTCCTTGCTTATATTGCAGATTTTGCTGAGTCATTGCATCCATTTAACCAATCAGATGCTTAAGCTTGTGACTGAACTGTAATACAGCAGCATTGGGTTCTAGGCTCCATATCAACATTGTGGCTGAACTGTGATCCAGCAGCATTGGGTTCTAGGCTCCGTATTGACATTGTGGCTGAACTGTAACCCAACAGCATTGGGTTCTAGGCTCTGCATCAACATCATGGGTGGACTGTAACCCAGCAGCACTGGGTTCCAGGCTCTGTAACAACACCATGACTGAATTGTAATCCAGCAGCATTGGGTTCTAGGCTCCATATCAGCATCCTGGCTGAACTGTAATCCAGCAACATTGGGTTCTAGGCTCTGTAACAACAATGTGACTTGATTGTAATCCAGCAGCATTGGGTTCTAGGCTCCATATCGGCATCATGGTTGGACTTGAACCCCAGCAGCATTCTAGGCTCTGTATCAACATTGTGGCTGAACTGTAATCCAGCAGCACTGGGTTCTAGACTCCATGTCAACATTGTGGCTGAATTGTAATCCAACAGCATTGGGTTCTAGGCTCCATATTGACATTGTGGCTGAAGTGTAACCCAGCAGCATTGGGTTCTAGGCTCCATATCAACATTGTGGCAGCATTGGGTTCTAGGCTCCATATCAACATCGTGGCTGAACTGTAACCCAACAGCATTGGGTTCTAGGCTCTGTAACAACATTGTGGCTGAATTGTAATCCAGCAGCATGGAAAGAGTTGTTTTGGGCTTTGCGAGGCCTGTCCTGTCCCTTTGAGGATGAGCGGTGGCTGGGCGCCAACAAGGGAGTAGACCTTCCTGTCCGCAGCTTGTTTGTCCTGCTACACTATCTCTTCGGATGGGAGGTTGGCCGTGCCTCTGCTGCCCCGCTTCCCTTGCTCGCCCTCTCACTCCCAGCTGCCTTTTCCTGTGGGTAGAAGGGTGGGCTCCATCTCGGTGGTCCTCCATTCAAGGGAACGGGCAGGGTTGCCTTGAGGCCCACGGGGGGAAGCCTGGGGGGCTTTGCTCTGCTGCAGACCACTTTCCACCTCATTTGCCACCCACAAAACTCGCCTAGAAATGGTCAGAAGGAGGGGCACGGTCCCAAATGAGCCTCTATAGGGTCTAGAATCCCGAGAAGGTCTTCTCTCAGGGCCATCCTCTTCATCTCGAACATGATTGGCAGGAAGGCAAGAGAAGGCTTTCTTGGAGGAGGCCCCAAGGGGGTGATAGACATGAATAATTGTCATCTTCATCGTCATGGTTGTCTTCTTATTCCTCTTCTTTTCCTCCTCCTCCTGTTCATTTTCCTCTTCCTCCTTCTCTACATATCCCTCCTACTCTTTTGCACTTCCTTCTCCACTTCCTTTTCCTCTTTTTCCTCTACTTTTTCATCTTCCTCCTCCTCTATGTATTTCTCCTCCTCTTCTCCTCCTTTGTTTCCTCCTTCTTCCATTCCTTCCCTTTTGTGTATTTCTTGTCTTTTGCAGTCCCCTTGGGGAGTGAGGGCGGAATATAATTTTTTTATAGTTGTTGTTGTTGTTGTTGTTGTTGTTGTTCCTCTGTTGATGTGGCCACAAAGTAGAAATGCTTTGGAATTATTCTTGCAGTTACCTTGTTAAAATAATGTATGGGAGACAGAGGGTGGGGTGCCATAGCATTGTGTTTCCTGATGCCATAAAACTCTCCAGCAGCGTGCAAAAGAATGAGGAAGTACTCCATCAGTGTCACAAGTGGATGGTGAAGCAACAGCTCCCCCAGTGGCCATAATTCAAAGCATACCCTCATGAAGCTGGAAAGTTAACTAGCCTCTGTGTGTCTGTTTATATATTAGGCCTGGTCGACCCATGGTTCTAAATGGTTCTAAAGTACTTACAAAACTAAAGTTCTGGTGGTGAAAATTTCAGAACTCTAACAAAACTCTCAAAAATTTCATTATAAATGGCAGTTCTTAATTTGTTCTATCATAAAAATTCCCAATAATGAAATAATAATTAAATTTTGAAGGTTTTGTTAGAGTTCTGAAATTTTCACCACCAGAACTTTAGTTTCGCAAGTACTTTAGACCCATGAATTGCCCAGGCCTACTATATATGTTGTGTGTCTATGGCATTGAATGTTTGCCATGCATATGTGCATAGTGTTCTAAAGTACTTACAAAACTAAAGTTCTGGTGGCGAAAATTTCAGAACTCTAACAAAACTCTCAACATTTCATTATAAATGGCAGTTCCTAATTTGTTCTATCACAAAAATCACCAATAATGAAATAATAATTAAATTTTGAAAGTTTTGTTAGAGTTCTGAAATTTTCACCACCAGAACTTTAGTTTCGCAATTGTTGTTGTTGTACTTTAGATCCATGGATTGCCCAGGCCTACTATATATGTTGTATGTCTGGCATTGAATGTTTGCCATGCATATGTGCATAGTGTTCTAAAGTACTTACAAAACTAAAGTTCTGGTGGCAAAAATTTCAGAACTCTAACAAAACTCTCAAAATTTCATTATAAATGGCAGTTCTTAATTTGTTCTATCACAAAAATCACCAGTAATGAAGTAATTAAATTTTGAAGGTTTTGTTAGAGTTCTGAAATTTTCACCACCAGAACTTTAGTTTCGCAAGTACTTTAGATCCATGGATTGCCCAGGCCTGCTATATATGTTGTGTGTCTGGCATTGAATGTTTGCCATGCATATGTGCATAGTGTTCTAAAGTACTTACAAAACTAAAGTCCTGGTGGTGAAAATTTCAGAACTCTAACAAAACTCTCAACATTTCATTATAAATGGCAGTTCCTAATTTGTTCTATCACAAAAATCACCAGTAATGAAATAATACAATGAAATAACTTTGAGAATACAATGAAATAATAATTAAATTTTCAAATTTTTGTTAGAGTTCTGAAATTTTCACCACCAGAACTTTAGTTTTGTATGTACTTTAGAACCATGGATTGCCCAGGCCTACTATATATGTTGTGTGTCTATGGCATTGAATGTTTGCCATGCATATTTACGTTGTGATCCGCCCTGAGTCCCCTGCAGGGTGAGAAGAGCGGAATATAAATACTGTAAATAAATACATAAATAGATACTGACCGTCTCCTCCCTCTGCTCCCTTCTTTCCAACGTAGGAGCAGTTGCAGGGCCAGGACTTCAGCAAGTTCCAGCCGCTGAAGCCGCGCCTGCTGGAGGCGGTGGAGGACATGCTGGCGAGCGACATCGCGGCGCTGATGGTGCTGGTGCGGCAGGAGGAGGCGCAGCGCCCGGCGCAGATGGTCAAGGGGGGCGCCTTTGAGGGTACACTGCAGGGCCCCTTCGGGCAGGGCTACGGGGAGGGGGCCGGCGAGGGCATCGACGAGGCCCACTGGGTGGTGGCACGCGACAAGCCCATGTACGACGAGATCTTCTACACGCTCTCGCCTGTGGACGGCCGGGTGAGCGGGGCCAACGCCAAGAAGGAGATGGTGCGCTCCAAGCTGCCCAACACCGTCCTGGGCAAGATCTGGAAGCTCTCCGACATCGACAAGGACGGCATGCTGGACGATGAGGAGTTCGCCCTGGCCAACCACCTCATCAAGGTCAAGCTGGAAGGCCACGAGCTGCCCAACGAGCTGCCCCCACACCTGGTCCCGCCCTCCAAGCGCAAGATGGCCGAGTGACACCACGATTGACAGGCCAGGTCATCTGTTGAGATGGACGGACTTCCAGCCAGGGCTTTATATATGCAACAGACTCTTCCCTGGCTCCCTCTTTGAAGCCCTAGAAGGACATGCATTGTTGACATAACTTTCACCGCCGTCGATACCATGACAATAATGGGAGGTGTGGTTCCGCCTTGTATAATGAATGCAGTTTGATACCACTTTGAACCACCATGGCTCAATGCTATGGAATTTGGGAGTTGTAGTTTGGCACGGCCCTTTAGCCTTTTCATCCTGGAGGTTTGGGTCAAGGGTGCAAACGCCGTTGTGATCATTCCCGTTGTGTTTCTGTAATGGAGGATCTGCACTGCAGACTTAATTGTCAGACTGTAGGATCTATATAGCAATATTAAATAACCACTCACAAGCCGATTTTGCTTTGAAATGGATATATTGCTTGTATCTCTACAGCAAAGAAAGACACTACTGGCTTTTTCCCACCACCACTTCCTTTTATACACCTTTCATGCCCATCTCCCCCTCTTCTCAGTTTCCTTATTAGAACTTGTGGCTTCACAAGTTCCCATACAAGGCTTCAAAATGTCACAGAGAGAGAATTGATTCAGCCAGGATGTCACAGAGGGAATTTATGACATCTTCATGCCGTCAGAAATTGACTCCTGACATCAATGCAGTTTGACACCAGTATTAAATATGCAAATTAATAATAACTCTTTCTACCCTGGTACCATCTTGGCTTTGGTCCATGTTTGCAACTTTGGGGAAGGAACGATAGGTGCATCTATACTGCAAATAAATGCAATTGGATGCTGCTTCAGTCGCCATTTCATAGAATCATAGAGTTGGAAGAGACCTCATGGGCTATCCAGTCCAACCCCATTCTGCCAAGAAGCAGGAAATATTGCATTCAAATCACCCCTGACAGATGGCCATCCAGCCTCTGTTTAAAAGCTTCCAAAGAAGGAGCCTCCACCACACTCCGGGGCAGAGAGTTCCACTGCTGAACGGCTCTCACAGTCAGGAAGTTCTTCCTCATGTTCATCTTCCTCCAATTTCATTTGCAAGAGGCTATGGAAAGATGAGTTGTAGTTTTGAAAGGTCTTTAGGAGGCATGTGCAACCATGGTTCTAAAGTACTTGCAAAACTAAAGTTCTGGTGGTGAAAACTAGGCGGTGCTGGTGCTTTGCTTCTACAGTGTTTGCTAAAGTTCTGGTGGTGAAAATTTCAGAACTCTAACACAACTTTCAAAATTTCATTATAAATGGCAGTTCCTAATAGGTTCTGTCATAAAGAAAAATCACCAATAATGAAATTTTGAAAGTTTTGTAAGAGTTCTGAAATTTTCACCACCAGAACTTTAGCAACACTGTAGAAGCAAAGCACCAGCGCCCCCGAGTTTTCATCACCAGAACTTTAGTTCTGTAAGTACTTTAAGACTCTTTGCTGTGTCTGGCTTTCCTTGCTGAGCATCTAAGCTTCTGTCCAACCGTCCGGTCTTCCTGCTTCTTGTGTCTTCATTATAAACAAACAAACACACACACACACACACACACACACACACACTGTTAGATTGAATACTTGTGGTCCAATTTATTCTGCAGTGACTTGGCAGGAGGTCATCAATGGGTCTGTTTTGGCCTCCAGAAATCAATTGGACGGCATTTCCTTGAGGGACAATAGATAGAAATATATACTAAGAACAGAGAGGAGGGATGTGTCTGCATTGTGGAATGAATCCAGTTTAATACCACTTCAATGCTATGGAAGCCTGGGAGTTGTAGTTTTACATGGCCTTTCACCATCTCTGCCCAAGGATGCATCTACACTGTAGATTTAATACAGTTTAGTACCTTTTTCAGTTGTCATGGCTCAATGCTATGGAACCCTGGGATTTGTAGTTTCGCGAGATCTTCTCTGCCAAAGGATGCATCTACACTGTAGCTTTAATGCAGTTTGGTACCCCTTTCAATTGCCATGGCTCAATGCTATGGAAGCCTGGGAACTATAGTTTTACAAGGCCTTCTCTGCCCAAGGATGCATCTACACTGTGGTTTTAATGCAGTTTAGTATCCCTTTCAATTGCCATGGCTCAATGTCACGGAACCCTGGGAGCTGTAGTTTCGCATGGTCTTCTCTGTCAAAGGATGCATCTATACTTTAGATTTGATGCAGTTTAGTATCTTTTTCAATCACCATGGCTCATTGCTATGGAACCCTGGGAGCTATAGTTTTACATGGCCTTCTCTGCCCAAGGATGCATCTACACTGTGGTTTTAATGCAGTTTAGTACCCCTTTCAATCGCCATGGTTCAATGCTATGGAAGCCTGGGATTTGTAGTTTTGCAAGGCCTTATCTGCCCAAGGATGCATCTACACTGTAGCTTTAATGCAGTTTAGTATCTATTTCAATTGTCATGGCTCAATGCTATGGAACCCCTGGGACTTATAGTTTTACAAGACCTTGCCAAAGGATGCATCTACACTCTAGTTTTAATGCAGTTTAGTAACCCTTCAATTGCCATGGCTCAATGCTATGGAACCCTGGGAGCTGTAGTTTTACAAGGTCTTCTCTGCCCAAGGATGCATCTACACTGTAGCTTTAATGCAGTTTAGTACCTTTTTCAATCACCATGGCTCAATGCTATGGAACCCTGGGATTTGTAGTTTCGCAAGGTCTTCTCTGCCAAAGGATGCGTCTATACAGTGGTTTTAATGCAGTTTAGTACCCCTTGCAATTGCCATGGCTCAGTGCAAAGAACCCTGGGAGCTGTAGCTTCGCAAGGTCTTCAACTACCTGTACCCGAGAGTGCTGGGACCTCACCAAACTATGTATCCCATACCACACTGCATTCATTCTGCAATGTAAATTGAGATCTGAGGAAGAGCTGGGAAAATTCCTAGAAAAGAGGATGAAAATATAAAATATCAGAGATGAGGACTTAAAACACAGGAATTGGGTGATTTACTTTCCTGGACTACAACTCCCAGAATCCCCCATCCAAGTTCCGAATAGGAACAAACTAACTCCAAAGCGGGCTAATGCTTTATTCTCAATGCTTGGAACACTAGAGTTGCGTCTACACTGGAGAGTTAATGCGGTTTGATACTACTTTGGAATGAGGGGAGATGTAGTTCGAACTTTGTGGCAGAGAAGGCTAAAGGCCTTGTGAAACCAACTCCCAGCAACCCTGTAGCATTAAAAGTGGGATCAAACTGCATTAATTCTACAGTGTAGATGCCCCTTTGCTCTCTCTCTTAAAGTCAATGTGTTTACTGTTGATCGCAACACGTATGTTACGCGTGTAAAAGTGAATTAGCGTTTCCTTTGGTGCGTTGAGTCCATTTTTGCGTGACGAACACGGAGAGCCCTTTCTTGTCCCATTCGCACCAATTCAAACACTCCCTTCCGAATCAATATATTCCGAACAGGATTCGGAATATATTGATCCCTCCGATTGATTGATTGATTGATTGATTGATTGATTGATTTGCCATCCTCGTGGCTCTCGCTTTCACGTTCCTCCCCAAACTGTGACCGGGACACTTATAACTTATTTTATATCTCTGTGTTAATAATAATATTATTATTATTATATAAAGAAATATATATATATATTCCGTCTATGTACAAAAACATCCTTATCGCTGTGCATTTATGATGATGTCTTAATTAATTAAAAGTTAATGCATTAATCATTTATTTCTTCTTCTTTTTTTGTACCTTGCATCCAAAAAGCATTATTAAAAAATTAAGGTCCGATGGCTTGTGTTGGGCTTTGAATTCCAAGCCGTGTGATGCTGCAGCGAAAAAGGCCAATGCGATTCTAGGCTGCATCACTCGTGTATACATCGAGGGAAGTCGTATGTAGGGTTCCCTCACTTATCGCGGGTTTTACGTTCCGGGAACACCCGCGAAAAGGGAAAATCTGTGAAATAGGGACACGATATGTATGTCGAATTCCAAGGGTGAGGCGGAAGGGAGGAGAGATTTAAAGGGGAGAAAGAGGAAGGGAAAGAAAAAGGGAGGGAAGAGGAAGAGAAGGAAGGAAGGAAGGAAGGAAGGAAGGAGAGAAAGAGGAAGGGGAAGGAAAGAAGGGAAGAGGAAGAGAAGGAAGGAAGGAGAGAAAGAGAGGGAAGAAAAGAGGGAAGGAAGGAAGAGGAAGAGAAGGAGAGAAAGGAGGGAAAGAAAAGGGAGGGAAGGGAAGGAAAGAGGAGGAAGGAAGAGAGGAAGGAAGGAGAGAAGGAAAGGAGAGAGGAAGGGGAAGAAAGGAAGGAAAGGAGGAAGAGAAGGAAGGAAGAAGGAGAGAAGAAGAAAGAGAAGGAAGAAGAAAGGAGAAGGAGAAAGAGAAGGAAGGAAAGGAGAAGAAAGAGAAGGAAGAAAAAGGGAGGAAGGAAGGAAAGAAGAGAAGGAAGGAAGGAGAGAAAAAGAGGAAGGGAAAAGAAAGGAGGAAGGGGAAGAAGGAGGAAGGAAGGAGAAGAAGGAAAGAGAGAGGGAAGGGAAGAAAGGGAGGAAGGAAGGAGAGGAAGAAGGAAAGGGAGGAGAAAGGAAAGAAGGAGAGAAAGAAGAAAGGGAAAGAAAAGGAGGAAGAGGAAGGAAGGAAGGAGAGAAAAGGAAGGGAGAGAAAAAGGGAGGAAGGAGAGAGGAAGAGAAGGAAGGAAAGAAGAAAAAGGAAGGGAAAGAAAGAGGGAAGAAGGAAGGATGGAAGGAAGGAAGGAGAGAAAGAAAGGAGAGAAAGAGAGAGGGAAGGTTGGCCACAGCAATATATGGCGGTTACAGAGAGAGAGAGATACACACACACACATACATATACATATACATATATATTCATTTTATGCTCATTCAAATACATCTCCCAATTTCCTGTATTATTATTATAATATTTATTTATACCCCGCTTTATCTCTCCCAAAGGGAACTCAAAGTGGCTTGATATAAAAGTATTAGTATACAATTTAAAACATATACATATGCAAACATTAAAACAGAATTAAACAATATATAATGTCTAGTTTGGAGTGAGTTTGACTTGGTATTCTATGAAACACAGTTTGGGAACTGATGCTTTACACCAAGCATGGGCCAACTTGGGAACTCCTTCCAGGTGTTTTGGACTCCAACTCCCACAATTCCTAACAGCCTTCTGTTGCTTCCTGGGTGCCCAGAGGAGTCTCCTTCCTTCTCTGGCAGACTTTTAAAGCAGAGGCTGGATGGCCATCTGTTGGGAGGGATTGGATGGTAGAAGGAAGGGGGTGGACTGGATGGCCCTTGGGGATCCCTTCCATGGGTTCTATGATAGATATAGATAGATAGATAGATAGATAGATAGATAGATAGATAGATAGATAGATAGATGGATGGATGGATGGATGGATGGATGGATGGATGGATGGATGGATGGATGGATG